CAAACGACAAAGCGTTAATATTTTGCTTTTTTTTTTTAAATTAGAAAGAAATTTCCTTTAAACTTCATACACATTATCAACATGAACAATTCAGTTATATAGGTCAGGTAGTCGTCAATTGTACAGGAAAAAGATATGACAAATAAAATACGAAGTGTTGTGTTTCCGGAAACAATAGTTTTGTTTGTTTGTCAATAATAGTCATATTTTTTTATATTTATTTACACACATTTAAATTGGTTGTATCTCTGAAAGTATAAATGCAACATATATCATTTCTCGATATTTAGGGACTGCTATTGTAATGTATATAATAGCGTCGAAAATGTTTTTTCTTCACTTTATAAATTAAAAAAAAAATTCTGATGACGGAATTTCGAGGAATCACATTTTAAAGGGGAAAAATCCCCGCCAGCATTGGTTAAAATTTTGGAACACAAAAAGAGTAGTAAAGTAGATACTTATTTCAAACTAAAAACTTGTTTTTATATTAAAGACCTCCAAATTCACCACAGACAAAATTCAAATGTGGATAAAGACCTCCAAATTCACTACAAACAAAACTCAAATGTGGATTAAGACCTCCAAATTCACTTGTAGACAAAATTCAAATGTGGATAAGGACCTCCAAATTCACTTAGAAACAAAACTCAAAAGTGGATAAAGATCTTCAAATTCATTTACAGACAAAATTAGTATGTGGATTAGATAACAAATTCGCTACAAACAAAACTCAAATGTGGATAAAGACATCCAAAATTCACTTAAAGACAAAACTCAAATGTGGATAAAGACATCCAAAATTCACTTAAAGACAAAACTCAAATGTGGATAAAGACCTCCAAATTCACTTAGAAACAAAACTCAAATGCGGATTAAGACCTCCAAATTCACTTTCAGACAAAACTCAAATGTGGATTAAGACCTCCAAATTCACTTAGAAACAAAACTCAAAAGTGGATAAAGATCTTCAAATTCATTTACAGACAAAATTAGAATGTGGATTAGATAACAAATTCGATACAAACAAAACTCAAATGTGGATAAAGACATCCAAAATTCACTTAAAGACAAAACTCAAATGTGGATAAAGACATCCAAAATTCACTTAAAGACAAAACTCAAATGTGGATAAAGACCTCCAAATTCACTTAGAAACAAAACTCAAATGTGGATTAAGACCTCCAAATTCACTTACAGACAAAACTCAAATGTGGATTAAGACCTCCAAATTCACTTAGAAACAAAACTCAAAAGTGGATAAAGATCTTCAAATTCATTTACAGACAAAATTAGAATGTGGATTAGATAACAAATTCGCTACAAACAAAACTCAAATGTGGATTAAAGACATCCAAAATTCACTTAAAGACAAAACTCAAATGTGGATAAAGACGTCCAAAATTCACTTAAAGAGAAAACTCAAATGTGGATAAAGACATCCAAAATTCACTTAAAGACAAAACTCAAATGTGGATAAAGACCTTTAAATTCACTTTCAGACAAAACTTCAATGTGGATAAGGACCTCCAAATTCACTTATATTCAAAACTTAAATTTAGATAAAGACCTCCATTTTCATTTACATACAAAATTCAAGTGTGGATAAAGACCTCCAGATTCACTATAAACAAAACTCAAATGTGGATAAAGACCTCCAAATTCACCACAGACAAAACTCTAATGTAGATAAAGACCTCCAAATTCACTATAAACAAAACTCAAATGTGGATAACGACCTCCAAATTCACCACAGGCATAATTCAAATGCAGATAAAGACCTCCAAATTCACCACAGACAAAACTCAAATGTAGATAAAGACCTCCAAATTCACCACAGACAAAACTCAAATGTAGATATTGTTGTACTGTTACACCACTGTCCCAGGGTAGGGAAGGGTTGGGATCCCGCTTACATGTTTAACCCCGCCACATTCTGTATGTATGTGCCTGTCCCAAGTCAGGAGCCTGTAATTCAGTGGTTGTCGTTTGTTGCTGTGTTACATATTTGTTTTTCGTTCATTTTTTTGAACATTGATTAGGCCGTTAGTTTTCTCGTTTGAATTGTTTTGCATTTGTGATTTCGGGGCCTTTCATAGATGACTATGCGGTATGGGCTTTGCTCATAGTTGAAGGCCGTACGGTGACCTATAGCTGTTAATTTCTGTGTCATTTGGTCTCTTGTGGAGAGTTGTCTCATTGGCAATCATACCACATCTTCTTTTTTATACATTGTTAAGGAAAAACAGGACCCATGATACAAAAAGTATACTCTGAAAGCATATGCCCATATTGGTCAATCAATGTTTCCCAAACTAAGTTAAGATGGGGGATGGGGGGGGGGGGGGGGGGGGTCAGTGAAAAAACTATGTGAATTCAGTTTTTTATCCTACATTGAACTTTTGATGTCGTCCCTAAAGCAATTTATCTATCTTTGAACAATATTCGATGGAGATGTGCCATATGTAAAGTCAGAATCAGTATAAAAATAAGATGTGATATGAATTATAATGAGACAGCTATGTATCCAAATTCAAATGGAGTGGATTTAAGCAATTATTATAGGCAACTGTACGGCCTTTAGCAATGAGAAAACCCCATACTGTATACTCGGCTATAAAAATGCCCCGACGTAAAAAATATGAAACAATTCAATTGAGAAAACTAACGGCTAAATTCATAACAAAACAATTTATGAAAAAACCAATATGACAGACATGAATCAACGACAAGTGTCCATGATCTCAAAATAGAAAGAGACAGATATAAAACTTTATATGATTGTAAGAGATCAGAGCCTTTGTTAGAAATGTACTCTTAATTTTTAAAACTAATTCCCAACAACATTTTGCTATTAGTTGTCCATCATACAATGATGATAGAGAGATATTTTTCGGAGGTAAACAATATTTGTCATAACTTTTCAGATCTCTCAAATGAGGCAATTTTGGTTGGTTATTTACTAAAGAAAATGTGTGAATCTAGATGTTAGACGAAACGTGAATTAATATACTTAATAACGATGATCATTGTAACGATTTTATGGTTCTAGTCCTGCCTGGAATAAAATGTACATGATTTATATAAGATAAAGGGCCCTTAATTGGAACAATAGATATTCTTATTCTTATTCTTATCCTTTATTATAATTTCGCAGAGTGAAGAACAGAAATATTTTTATACCGGATGTAAAATTGAAAAATACATATAAAGAACTTCCGCTGCAACATTTTTTTCACACTGATGTTGCTGCGCATTGTAAAAATAATATCTATTTTCAACATTGTTGTAAAATTCCGTACACCCCTGATTACACCAAGATAACGAATGTATTTCTTATGAACCATTCCTTTACTCATTTTTAACCCGGATGTAAAATTGAAAATAGCACATGAAGAACTTCCAGTACAGCATTTTTCATCACACGGATATTGATGCGCAGTGTCAAATGATATTTTTTTTCATTATTTTTTTCTTTATTTTCGGAAATTTGGAAGAAAAAAAATCCTTTTTTTTTTGGAAAAAGATTTTCAATCGTGAAAATGAAAGCCATTGTAGGGAGTTGAGTTGCTGTCAATTTAGCTAAAATAATTAATATGCCTAAATCTTGATTGAAAAAGAAGTAGAAAAAGCAGTGAGAATGCACTTAAAATAGTAACAGCTGTAGAAGCACGAAAATTTTTTTGTGCTTTTAAAAGGTCAAGATTTTATCTTTCTATCGATTTTTTTCATAGGGATTTATGTTAACAAGTATATACATGTAAGATGCAAAAATCCTAAATTATGCGCCAACATTAAAAACTTTTTTAAAAGGCCATAGAAACTTGGGAATATTTGTGTACAAGGTAAAAAAGTCATTTTTTAAAACGATTTCAAGAGGAAAGAGACTTAGATTTTATGCACTCTAACAGATCTTTGTGTTTTTGAAGTATCCATCTGATTCACACTGCCCCTGCAGTAGTTTCATAATAATCTATAACTATAATAACTATGAAGTCTGGCTTTGATGCTAATAATTTAGAAAGAGGTTTCGTGGACACTTGGAAAACCCAGCAATATAACGTTGTTTGTAATGACACTTAGGTATCCAGTACGGTGAAGGAAAATCAAGTTCTTCATCTTTGGTTGAAATTCCAAAGGAACATATACCAGACCTTTTTAACATCTCTAATAAAGTGTTTGATTTCAACTAGATATGAACCTACGTGCAGCCTGCATGATCTCCAACGATGAATAATACGTATAAATAAGAAGATGTGGTATGAGTGCCAATGAGACAACTCTCCATCCAAGTCACAATGTGTAAACAATTATAGGTCAAAGTACGGCCTTCAACACGGAGCCTTGGCTCACACCGAACAGCAAGCTATAATGGAACCAAAAAATGACTAGTGTAAAACAATTCAAACAGGAAAACTAACGGTCTAATCTATATAAAAAGCGAGAAACGAGAAACACTTATGAACCACACCAACAAACGACAACCACTGAACAACAGGCTCCTGACTTAGACTAAAATCGATTAAAACACATCCCAGGGATTTAGTGTTTTAACGCCATGAACAGTTAAAGAAGATATGACTTGTGCATATATGTTTATAAATCGATATCACTAACGCATCGATTCCTGCCGTGGGAAGAACAAAAATTTGCAAACGCAAATTTGCAGATTTAAGATTGTTCGGCTAAATTGCAGATGAAGTATATATTTCGTTAAATTATAACTGATTGAGGGACAAACTTTTATATTTTTTCTGGTTTGTTTTATCTTGTTTGGGTTCTATTTCATTAACCTACACTCTACATATACTTTTATTGATATAATATGGCAATGGCCTTGAGTGGGTTTTTTTTCAGATCGTTTTTTTATCTCTTGTACCCTGCGTCACCATAATGACATACGCTACTGGGATGATAATGATGGGCAGGAAAATAACAGGAAACAATATGGTATGTATGACTATATAAAGAAAGCAAGAACATCGGTAAGAAACAGAAAGCGACTATCTTATTTGTGAATCGTTTCCGACCAGTAAGTAACATTTACATTTATTTTCATTTGTGTGAACACAGGTTTTTTAATGTTTGCATTTTGCTTTCATTTAGATGTATCAGCTTTTTTCATGATAACATGTTTTTAGATTGCAATGGTAAGCTTGTTATGTGTAAAATCGTAAAAAAACATTATTTTAATAAGTAAAAGAAAAAAATAATATAAATACAAATAATTGATTTAATGTTGTATTTATATCCTTTTTTATTCTTATTCACTATTCAGCAAATTTGCAAAAAGAAATATATATTATGTTCGATATTCAAGTCTTGATAGTGGGTATATCATAGGATTATACACATGTTATCTTGAGGTTAAGGTATTTAAGAAATGAATGCTTCTGTTTGTTATTTTATTTGGGTGCAAAAAAAAAGCGTTGACCGAAGCACGTTTTGTATTAAGCGCGGAAGCCGTCCGCAAGTCAGTCAGCATTTTAGTCCGTCCGCCAGCAATCTAGGTTTCCTGATGCTTAATCAAATACATATTTTGGATTGCAACCATGGTCGCATGTAATGAGAGGACTTTGAAAATAGTCAAATTTACAGAATTAAACCAAATTCGTACAGCTACTTAAACGGGAAATGACATAAGGCACATGCTATCGAAATTTTGATCTGTGTGATTTTTATAGATTCCAATACCAATTCATGGATTTAGACATTTCTTTTATATCAGTTCGTTAATCCGCTACTCTTTGAAAACATTTCGACAGAAATGAACTTACGCATCAGTTATTCCAATTTGTTATCTTTTATTTACCAATACATAGCTATTTCATAATTTAACAATTTGATTATTCCGAACCCCTTGAAGACGGCTTGGCATAATTAAAAACAAAATTGCTTAGCTTTTCGAACGAGGAATGAAGTTGTGCACCTATTTTACTGATTTTTCTGTGTGACTTTTGGAATTTCCAAAGTCAAAACATGAACTTTGCCTTTCTGCTAATATTATATGGAGACGACATGCGACAGTCTCCTTCTTTGGAAGACCCAACAATTTTACATTTTTCTAAACGATTTATTCGCATCAAAATGTTTGTAAATTAATTATAATATCATAGTTCCTTTAACACATTACTGTTTTTACAAACATTGAATGACATGATGTATGAAGTTCGGGATTAATAATGAATTCCCTTAGTCGCCATTGAACATCCGGCAACTACTAATGAATTCCCTAAGTCGCCATTGAACATCCGGCAACTACTGCTAGTGGTTGATATTTGGTATCCGAATTCTTCTATTTATAATTTATTAGTCGAGTTTCGCTTTTTGTATATTGCTGTATATTTTTACGTATATTTTATCAATTTTGTGGTGTATTGTAAAGGTTTTCGTTACGACCAAACTAATTCATAAAAAAATGTAACAGTTATGCTTTATTTCATTAAGATAGCATCATCACATCTTGGTTCACATGGCTGCTCCGGCACGACGTATGAACTTGTTCTACTGGGCACCAACGGATGAATTATGGGGACATTGTTCATTAGCCTTGAGTGACGGCACACACATTAGCTGGTGGCCTATGACGGAACCGGGAGAAGGAAAGAAGCATCCCGGATTAGTCCCTATTGCACTTGTATGTATACTTATTCCATCTTACATTATTTTTAACGGTAATATTCCACCAAACATTATGTTTAAAGATATTTTTCACCTGACATTACTTTTAACGATACTTATTCCATCTTACATTATTTTTAACGAAACTTATTCCATCTAACATTATTTTGAACGGTAATTATTCCACCAAACATTATGTTTAAAGATCATTTTTTTCACCTAACATTATTTTTAACGATACTTATTCCACCTAATATCATTGAAAATGAATATTCTGCCAGACATGATGCAACAAACAGTTGTGTACAATGAGAAAATAAATTTTTGAGCGGCATATATAAGCCTCTTTAGCTACAAGTGAAAATGAATATTTCAACGGTAAAAAACATCCTACTCTAAAATCATTATGTTCATCATTGAATCGGGGATAGAGAAAAGAATGCTTGCAGATTCAGATTCGAAGGATTCAATTATTTGAACGTATAAAGCTGAAAAAAATATTGAAAATTCCTTAAAACAAAGACTGAAAAAAATATTGAAAATTCCTTAAAACAAAGAATTTCCTAAAGCATCATTGTGATTTAATCTTATTTTACAGTTTACAGAATGGATAAACGCATATCAAAACCAAACTTTGGCAAAGGATACTGAATATGAGGGGAGACAACCAGCAGTACTAGCAATTCCTGTTGGTTTAAATGAAGGCGCTATAAAAGTTTGGTGGCAAAAATTCAAACAATCACAGAAATACCAGGCTGCTCGTCTCAACTGTTCAACCGTTGTATTTCTAGCGCTCAAACAAGGAGGAGCACTCAATGTGGTTCAAGACCCAGGAAACTGGTGGTGGGACCCAGATCGTACATTGCAATTTGCTCGTGCAATGAAACATGCAATGGAGGTGAAAAAGAAGGGGCAGGTACAGTTCCAACAAACGTCACAGGCTTTTACAAGGCAGCTACAACTGGCAAGACAGGCAGCGGACCAAAAGGCTATGGCAGCACACTATGCTCCTATGTACTAATGGAAACTTACATTGTTAACATTGCAAAGTACACATGCATAGTGTTTTGTTACTGAATGTGCTCTCTAACATTGCTTTACTTATAATTTTGAAAAATTAAATTTAAAAACCACAAACTATGTTTCAATATTATTTTGACCCATTTTAATCGAATATACAAGTATGAGGGCGGCAGACCACCTTGTTATGCCCCGTTGTTGGAATATGCTGTTTCCACGTATAAGAAATCTTGCAATGACTCCATGAGAGGTCCGTGGTTGACTTATTGAAAAGAAGATTCTTGCAAATACCCAGCATGTCCCCATTTTATTTGGAAGAATACATTTCTTCAGCCTCTATCCTGGTCGACCCATTTTTTTGAACCTACATATAAATAATTATTTAATCTTAATTATTAAATCTTTTTTTTTCATAAAGTTCGTGTACTTTGTACAGTGACCTATAGTTGTAAACATCCACGTCATTTTGCCACTGATTGATAGATGTCTCATTGTCATTCATACCAAATCTCATTAATTTTGTATATAACTTGTACATTTGCTTTTGAAAAATTACTTTTTGAAAGCTGCACCGAAGAGATCAACTTGTCTGTAGTGCAAGTCTACGAGTTACAGGATTTTACAGTTAGGGGAGAAAGTAGATGGAAAATAATGTTTTTCTTGTAGCAATAGGTTAAAAACTATTGGCATTATGCGTATCATATTCATTTAAAATCATGGAATCACCACCCGAGACCAAAGGACGAAAAGAACATTGTTTTGATTGATTGTCGACTGATACTTAAATAATTAATAATTAAAGAACCTATATTCAACTGGGTGTTTGTAAAATCGCGTCTGGTGTACACAATGTTTAATTCTGGTATCTATGATGAGTTTATTATCAACGTATTGCCTATTTTCTACCGGTTTCGCATGTATTGTTACGTTGTTTCTTTTTGTTTTTCAATCCAGCAATCACTTTGAACGTTTCCCACAATTACGGTGGGTACGCAGAACTGGTCTGACAGATAAACCAGGATAAAGTAACTCACAATTACGATGAGTACTCGTCTAGGCGAAAGGCCGGGATGGATATATCTCACAATTACGTTGAGTACTAAATCATCTGGTAGATAGACTGGAATAATCGTATCTCACAATTATGGTGAGTTGTCGTCTGGCAGATAGGGTGGGTTGAAGGTATCAGACAATTAAGGCGCGTACTGGTCTGGCAGACATGCTGGGATGAACATTTCTCTAAATTACGGCCATTACTCGTCTGGCAGATAGGCCGGGATGAACGTACCTAATAATAACAGTTAACTTTCGTTTGGCATATAGGCTAGGACGAACGTTTCTAGCTCACAATTAATGTGAGTTCTCAAAAATCGCCTTGCATATAAAACGGGATAAACGTTTCTTATGAAACGCCGTAGCTGCCTGATGTGAACATATGTTTATATATATATGCACATACTTTTTCTATATATGCACATACTTTATCAATATATGCACATACTTTTCCTATATATATGCACATAGTTTAATTTATATGCACATTCTTTTCCTATATATGCACATACTTTTCCTATATATGCACATAGTTTACTTTATATGCACATACTTTTTTTATATATGCACATAGCTTACTTTATATGCACATACTTTTCCTATATATGCACATAGTTTACTTTATATGCACATACATTTTCTATATATGCACATAGCTTACTTTATATGCACATACTTTTCCTATATATGCACATAGTTTACTTTATATGCACATACTTTTTCTATATATGCACATATCTTACTTTATATGCACATACTTTTCCTATATATGCACATAGTTTACTTTATATGCACATAGTTCTTCATGTGCATACTTTTCTCTATATGAAAATAGTTTTTCAATATGAGAGTTACCATTCATATGATACTTTACCGAAAGTGCAATTTATAGAAAAAACGAGAAAGTGCAATTTAACAAAAATCAACGTTTCAAACATTTCGTAGGAAGATTTAGATACATTAACACAGTACTAGTTGACAAATTTCCCTGTTGCGTCGAAAATATGATAAAAGACTTTTTACTGCAAAAGACAGCTTTTTGTGGTCGTATAAAGAATTGGATTCACCCTTTCCATTCCGAAAATTTCCAAGCCCTCCCCCCTTTAATTTCCTCCTATCTCCCCTTTTCAGGTTACAAATGACCGGTCCTTTACATTTGTTATTACCCTTGCATTGTCCGATTTTTGTCCATTTTTCCGTCTTTGTTACTAATATCTTGAGAAAAGTAATATGTCAATAAAAACGTGAACAACTAAAATGATCAGCAAGTCTAGATTTACAAAAACTGACAATACTTGAAATTTGTGTATCTTATGGAAGAAACTGCCTCTAATTAGGAAAGGCATTTTCAATGGAAAGAAACTATTTTGTTTGCTTCTCTTCTGAAACAAATACTGTCTTTTTCAAGAAACTTGAAATCAAATTAAAAAAAGAATTGAATGGTCGGTACCTTAGCCCTGTTTACAAGTCGATGTCTTTAGTCTGGAGGTGTATATATGAGTGTCTGCCCACTAAACCGTTTATGTTTCTGGTTACTGTCTGTTTGAAGCTGTAAAATAATGCGCGAAAACGTAATAAAAAGCTGCGTACAAATGTAACGCACCGAGTTGATGTTCATCCCATATCTCCTTTCCTTGATACTGAGGGGAGGGGCGGGGCCGGGGGGGGGGGGGGGGAGGGGGGGGGCTGCTTTGGTTGCCGAGTGGTCTAAGTAATCAAACTACTGTATCACTAGCCTGTCAACACTAAGGTTGTGAGTTCGAAACCCGCACGTGGCAGGTTCGCTCGACTCCAATCTTAATTGACTAGAATTGTCAGTTTTCCTACCGAAGTTCGTTGGTTCTCTCAAGGCACTCCGACTTCCTCCACCAATAAAAACAGACCGTCACGAAATAGCACGATAGTGCTGAAAGTGGCGTTAAACACCAATTAATTATTCAATCAATCATTCACATCCGATGAGTAGAAATTTTTATAGCTATTGTAATGAAATACTTTTTTTAAAATGACTGTGAATTTAATTGGTTCAGGAAATGAATTAAGATAAAGCGGCAATTCAAAAAGAGGGACTAAATATACCGGTATAGCTGTCTTTTGTATATAAAGTAAACTATGTAGGAATATGACAGTTGTTATCCATTCGTTTGATGTGTTTGAGCTTTTGATTTTGCCATTTGATAAGGGACTTTCCTTTTTGAATTTTCCTCGGAGTTCAGTATTTTTGTGATTTTACTTTTTATTAAACATCTTCATGACAAAAAGCTGATACCATCCCATAAAATGCGTTTTGGTGAAATGGAAACAACTGACCATTATTTGTTTTTTTCAAAATGCCGAAGATTCGGTGCATTTCGTCAAAGACGCATATAAAATCTAAGGCTTCAAAAAGAGTATCCACATATACTTTACTTTTTGGCTCCGTTAGAATATATCGACAAAAATGAATTTCTATTGAAACACAGCTACAATTTAAAATCGCTATATACCCACTCCTATCTTCTATAGTCTACCTTTCTGTAACATCACTGCCATTTGTCTTCGTTTATAAGTAATTGTGTGTATGACAAATCCATCAATAAAATATGTGTACACTTACAGGAACGAAACACAACCTGTAAGTCATCATAAATGTATATTATATAATTCTGTACTAAAAATCAGATCTCCAAGTAAAAGGAAAAAAGACCACACAGCTGTCTGATACATTATAAAAGAACGATAGGGCGGACACGCATGGGTCACGTACACTATTTATCCAAGCCACTTCGTGAAGGGGGCATTTAATTAAAAACAAATACATAAAATAATAATTAACATTTTTTCTAAAATATTATTACATATATGAATGGGTTCCTGAATAAAAAAAAACTATGCATCACTATGCCAATGAAAATTCTGATCATCATGTTAGGAACATCCAAGTAGCGATTAATGTTTCATTATACCAAAAAGATATACACTAGATAGTATGTTCTTTATGAAATGATTTTCAGGTAGAACATTTAGGATTCACTTTTAAAACGTTATGATTTATATTTCCCACTGCATTGTTCTGGAAATATAGGACAATTGATCATCAGCATTAAATAAGTGATCACCACTATCCCCGAACACTCTCCATATGATGTCTGAATCTAAGTATATTGTCTAATGCTTTATGGATACCAGCTCCTGTTATTGCACTCGTTCCCTGTATAGTACATAAACGTCCAGAGATTTGTTTAAGCTCTAAAAGTTCAACAATGTCTTTTTCCTTCATTGCACCTGCAGTAAATATATATATAGGTAAGTAGAAGTTATCATTGCATTTAGAAAACACCAAACCATCTACTCTTACAATTCTTTACAACATTTTTTATACTTCTGTGTGAGTGGTAAGATAATGAAAGTGTTTTTTTCTTTTCTTCTTCTTCAAATGAAACTTTTACTAGGAGAGGGAATTTTATACCGGTGTTTCATACCAAGTTGAAGGAAGTTGTGGGATACCGGTATAGACTTTCCAAAATTGATAACATGAGTAACAATCAAGTATTTAGAAGGGCTAAGACCGTGCGCTCGTAACATAAGTGTGTTAAAAATTAGAATAGTGAGGTGAAGAAAAGGTTACTGAGCTTGATTTAAATTGTTATAGTGATATTGACTCGTTTTTGGATAAAAAAAAAGTTGTCATTGATGACGTTTTGTCAAAAATGCTGACATAGTTTGAGGAAGAGTGGAAAAAACAGTGTCAAAAAAGTATCTTGTAATATTGGTAGAGGAGTTCTTTGTTTAATTCCACATTTAAGACAGAACACTTCTGTAAAATTTTGATAAAAAGATAAGGAGATGTGGTATGACTAAAGATAAGGAGATGCGGTATGACTTAAAGATAAGGAGATGTGGCATGACTAAAGATAAGGAGATGTGGCATGACTAAAGATAAGGAGATGTGGTATGACTAAAGATAAGGAGATGCGGTATGACTAAAGATAAGGAGATGTGGTATGACTAAAGATAATGAGATGTGGTATGACTAAAGATAAGGAGATGTGGTATGACTACCAATGAGACAACTAGAGACACATAATGTACACGTAAGCAACTGTAGGTGATCGTACGACTTTCAACTATCACCAAATACATACCGTAAAGTCGTCTATAAAAAGGCCCCGAAGTGAAAGATTTCAAACGAAAAAAGATTTATGACAAAGAAAAACAAAAAACAAAATTACAGACTCCTAACTACGGCCAGGCACATATAGATTGTGGCGGAGTAAAACATGTTTGTGAGCGCTCAACCCTCCCCTAACGTTGGACAGTGGTGTAACAGCATATCATAAGAACAAACCCATCTGGGAATCTTATGTTTTTTAAAGGTCTTAGTTGTAGTAGGAAAACATTTCCTTCGTATTTGTTAACAATGACACATGAGTCCAATAGTACCAAAAGCTATTATAATCCGACAAAACTGGCAAATGCTATAACCATTTGCAGGGCAACAATAACAAACCACCAATGTCAAACGGCTTTAACTAATTTCTAAATGTAACGAATTGCTCTATTTAAGTGTTAGTTGTTGAATAAATCATCCGAAGAGTTCGAATGTAATAAGATTAACGGTACCAATTTACTGCAACAGATGCGCATTTCGACAACACATGTATCTAATCTATGGAATAGGATCTATATCAATCCGCGTTACATGATGACACTATCGGTTTATATGTTTTATTTGACAGACATGCCAGTTTGGATCAAATCTGTCACGGTTTTTTCTCAGACCTTATGGTATAAAGTGTAAAACAACGGAAGTGCAACGCATGTCAATTTTTTGTGAATCAGCTCAAATAGTAACACCAGAGTTGTATATTTAGGTAAAATAATGCATGTTGAAATGCTAAAACTGCAATAACGAACACCGCTTAAAAACAGCTGTTTAATGTATTATATTGTATACCGTCTAAGTCTTGTTTGTTGGCCACAACGACAATAGGTGTACCTAAAAGTTCATCGTTTTGCAGAAGTTCATCAAGTAATTGCTGTGCCTCATCTATCCTGTCCTTGTCTGCACTGTCAATTACAAATAGGATGCCTGTAAAATAAAAAAGACACCTTAATAAACAAATGTTTTATTGTTATTATTCATTTACCAACATTTACCTGGTTTTGAAAATAGTTATCAAACTCAGTTTAAACATTCCAGTTTCGATTTTTAATCGCTAGAAATGTTGGGGTTTTTTTTTGTCCCATGTCTTAAAACAATCATCTTACCGACAATTGTCCACTATTGTGACGCTGATGATTGTTATTTAATATTAAGAAACGCATTCTAACTTTACTCGTCCCAAAAAAATAAAGAACGAGATTTCACTTTTTAATCATAAGTCATCATGTACCGAAGAAACAACATTACTCTACCACTACCTTAAAGTAATTCGTTCTGTCATTATATTTCTGAAGGTAATTATTGATAAATGAGAATTATTTTTGTGTATATCCTACCTCTAATTCTTAGAAAATAATGCCTCCATAATCTTCTGATGTTCTCCTGACCTCCCATATCCCAAATCGTGAATTCATTATCTTTGTATGTTATTGTCTCTACATTAAATCCTAACGTAGGTGTTGCCTCTATTACTTCTCCTGTAACTAGTCTGTACATTAAGGTGGTTTTACCTGCAATGTCCAATTGGATTGATATTCAATATAATTACTGTGCATTTGCCCAACTTACTATTCAAAGGGAGACAATCAAAGAATTTGTCTCTCTCTCTCCATATTATAAGGTGTATGTCATGTATATAATTATCTACACAACTCGTTTATATTTATAAGATTAGTTAATATTCATGTAGGCTCTCCTACATGTGAACCATGTACATCTCTTGTCATTAGGGTACAAATCAAATCAAATCAAATATTTTATTATTCCAATCAGGGTCCCACAGGGGGCATTTACAATTAACAATTATGATAATATAAGCAACAAACATGAGTCATTGTACAGTATATAACGTGACAGATATTATAATAGGTACAATGCGTTGAGTTTTTACCTACACTGTCAAGTTAAACATATATAGAAAATATCGCGTGGTACTTTTTTTTTCTCTTTGGGTGGAAAATTATTATGTCAGATATGTAAATATGCTTTCTGTTTGTTATTTTTTTAGACTCGGGACAATTTAAAGCTTCTCATATTGTAAAGACAACCATCTTTTATTGGAGACTATGTTGACCTTTAAACTGTCATTTGGTTATTTGAGTGGTTGGGTTTCTTCTCATTGACGTATATCGAGTATCTTCTTTTATTCATATCAAATAATAATGATTTGTTGTATGTACCTATAGAATAAGTGGTTGGAAATCATTTTTCATTTCAAGCACCGACTATTCTTCTTGTGTGTGTGTTTAGGCGAGATGGGGAGGGCATGCTTTTTTTTTTTTTTTTAATATTTCTGGAAAAAATAATTTGCTTCAGAAGGAAAGTGAACAAACTTTGTCTCTATTTTAAATTGGTAAAATATTTAAATAAAAAAGTTAATTAAAAAAAATTTGTCATGTATGTTACGTATCTTGGTATGTACTTTATCATTCCTTATTCTATTTAAGATTTTTTTTATCAAAGTTGTCCCGAGGCCTCCGATCCCCCAATATCATCATATATATTAATGTAAAGTCAGACTTACCACTTCCATCTAAGCCCACCATGACAATTCTCAAGGAGTTTCCGCCACGGTAAGTCTTACTAGCGGAACACCCCATAATAGCGTCATAGGGAATTTATGTCTGCACACCCAGTTTAAGTCCTTTTAGTTCTCAAGGTTATTTTCTTTAAATGAATCTGAGTAACTTCAACTATGACATAGACACCACAGCGAATTTGACTACCTTTTAATTCCTAGTACCACAAATTATTATAACGCGACAATTCCTTTGCCATCTTTGATTTCAGGACTACTTGTATTTACTGATTCGAGTGACGATTTTGTAAATATTTATGTCTAACATGTACATAGATTATCCTTTTCTTTTTTTTACATTTTATTTGAAAAGTAAAATTAGAGACTATATAATCCTCACTAATTCACTGTATTATTTATCCCCTATACAATCACAAATTAAATCAAATTTTACCTATTTACTGTAGGTAAATAAAGCCTATGTGTACAATGTAATGTTTTGATTTACAAACAAATAGTTCATAACTTTGACATTCAATACCTAACACTTTGTTTGGTTCAATAGCAGATTTAAAATGTTCAATTTGAAGACGAGATTAACTTTCGTTAAAGTTCTTTAATTAGCTTTGACTATGTAAAAGGCTTACGTATGCTATTTTGTTAACCATGTTAGGATTAAATGCCCCAGTGCCTAAATAAACCATATGACTTTGACATAGGCGTTGATTTGACCGTAAAATGATATGGTATGCATGTGTTGCATATATAGTTTTTAGACGTAATGCATTATGATTAAAAAGCCCAGTGTTGCATGTTGATTTTATCCAAATGAGACGAATAGTAATATACAAAACACATTTCCCTTATATTATTTCGATGACAGAAATTGTGTTTGGGTATAAAAAATGAAAACTGTGTGTTAAACGTTTTTTCTATTTTTGTATTCATCTTATTTGATTTAATTTAAAGTCTACAACAGATTTAGCCATTAAACAAAATGGCTCATTATAGATGTGTTTAAAAAATTTAAATAAGCTAACCGAAATTATATATAATTTCCATAAAGCATTATGTATCCTTGCCCCCAAAGTAGTATATATGATCATTAGTACCTTTATCACTAAGTTCTGTAAGCGTGACTAATTCGTATAGTAGTTGCCGGTGTTACTGATTATGTTGCTACTGTATTATTACATCTCGTCTCTCTTTATTTGTAGTGATTGTGCACGTCAATGTAAAACCATGCGCATTTTCCAAATTATAATATAAATAAACACGATCAGTAGACTGACGTCTTGAAGTTTTTGGTTTAGAAATAAGGTGGAATATCTACGAAGAGAATAACTAATGAAATGATGGTTGTTTAGCAGGACAATATGTCCAGTGAATTATTGGCCAAATGACCTTCACCGAAACTTATCAGGTCATATTTAGTCCTTTAATTTCTCGATAACTAGGCCATCACGCAGAAGTAGTAAATTATTTCTATTTATTCAAACTTTCTAAACTCCCACACTTTCTCTTTGAAGTGGGTTTTGATCAAGCCTGGAAATTCGGACCCTCTTTTTTACATTTCCAGAGAGCTATATATTAAGGTAGTTATTCAATGCCTATAATGGTAGTTATCTCTTTTTATTTTACCTATATGCGGGCTTTAATATAACATTATAATAAAGTATATATGTAATTTTTTTTCAGAGACAACTGTCTGTGCCACTACAGACTAGTTTCTAACGATTTCCTGAAGAAATACGTAGGTGTGTAACAACCTAATCCAACACATTTACAAAGACAAACAAGAGGCATTAGTAGTTTGTGCGGAGAAATCTCAATATTAAAAAAAAAACAAATTAAGCACTTGTACATTTGACTATGAGGTATACTGCAAATAACAAGTTAGTATATTTAATAAAGGATATTTAATATGACTTATCTGCAAAAAGCACCAAGAGTCGGTGCTTAAAGGGAAGTCCCTACTTGTACTTAATGCAGATGAGTCAAACTCCTAAATTATTTAAAATATATTTTAAAAACATATTTTTAAGATTATAGATTCTGTGTCCAGCCAGCAAAGATCATCAAGGGACGGTGCCATAGAATTTGAAATTCTTCTTATGATCTGTGCAGGCTTAACAGGGTATCCAAATTCATATTAAAGAGTTATATTGAAATTAGTTATTGCAGATTATGTTGTCCTTCAATTCTTAGTATCTTCTATATATTTATAAAATGCAAATAGTACATTGGGATCCTCATTATTCATTATCCAAATTAATTTGTTATTAATATTTAAATTTTGAAAGTTTGGACATGATTTTAATATACTTTGCATCAATTCCTCTCTTTTTAATAAATGAGTGTCACATTTAAATAAAAAATGAACTTCATCCTCAACCTCACCAGAGGTGCACCTGAGACAAATTGTGTTTTGTCGAAGAGTACCCTGGTATCTACCAGATTCAATTGCAATTTGTGAGCAGGTATTCTTAATCTAGTTATACATTTCCTTTGCTCAAAATGTCGCATTATTGACAAATAATTTTCAAAACCGAAGTTGCACTTGAATGTTACATAAGTTCGTAGTTTACCATCTTTATGTTTATCTAGCTGTTTTTTTCCACAATGTAGTATAGTATCCCTTAACAATCTGACCACAGTGTAATTTAATACTACAAGACAAATGCTTCAGCAAAGTTTATTTTTTTGCATATTTTTAGAAAATTGAGAATGCTAATGCAAAGAAATATGTCTCTGGCTAATGTAAAAGCGAAATATTATTTTAAAAATTTTTTGGACGATTATATGCTAAAAGTTGATATATTTTCCAATCAAAGCGGAATATGACACCTTGGTGGGTCTGGTATCACGTGATACTAAACATTCAGCGTTTCGGTCATGTGACTTCTAGTTTAATTGTTCAAAATGGCAGAAGTCGATGAAAAAGGTACACGTCTTTTCTTTTTTTTTTCAAGCATTTAACCATTAACAAAACTGCGTAAATTCGCGCTTATATTTAAAGTATGCATATTCGTAACATAATAGGCATACCCTTTTATTTCTTCCAGATTTATATACCCACATTTTTGTACCTGTCAGCATTTCCCATATCCGCTCATGTGTAACGACCGGGTCACCATTAACTTAATTAAAACGTAAACGATTCGCGTGATAACCTGAACAATAGTGTTTTTTTCTCAATACCACAGTTAACAGGAATTACCACATAAAAAAAAAAAATTGGGGAGATAATAAAATAATATATTTTAACGGTTGAAAATTTTTAAATTGAATACCTTTTACAATACTCCTACATGAAAATAGAAATGAACAATTATAATATGTAAAAAAAATTATGTATCATAATTTAATGACAAAAAAAATTCAAACTTTATTATTATACTAATCATGCTAATTGCCACGCCAAATCAATACCTCATTCATTGGGTTCCTTGCGTGGTGAAACAGTCAGCAAGAAAAAAAACGTTTATTTCGTTGAGACCATATCCAAATAATTTTGATTTTAATGATAATTTATAGTGAATTGGAATTTAAAACAGGAAATGATTAAATACATTGTATTCTGTTTTACTACATTGAACATTGGACTAAAGATATTAAGAATTTTATAAAAATAAGGAGATGTGGTTTGATTCTCAATGAGATAACTACAATGTATTTACCAGAGTTCAAATGAAGTGGATGTAATCAATCATAGGCCACCATACGGCCTTCAACAATGAGAAAAACCCATACTGTTTAGTCAGCTATGAAAGTCCCTGACATGAAAAATGTGAAACAATTCAAACGACAAAAACTAACGTCCCAATTAAAACAAAAAGCAATTTACGAAAAACAAATAAGACAGACATGAACCAACAACAACCACTGAATTACAGAATCCTGACTTGGAATAACAAACAATTTATGAAAAACAAATTGTACATCTCAATCATGTACAAAATATGTTTTACAAATAAATTGCTGCAGACCTTCAAAACATATGGTTTAATTTTATGAAGATTCAAAAGTGTTTAAAAAAACAAAATCAACTGCAATGATGTTAAATGCCATGCTCAATTTTTATGCAAATGCTGCACAGGCCTCAGTGAATACATTACTGTTTCAGCATATTCACAGAGAACTAAGCTGCCTTGTTTTGGTTGAAACAATAATATCAGATCTTGCATTATTTCACAATATATGAGTGGGTATGTACATGATGTATGTTACAAAATTTTCTTTCTTGCATCTTTAAACTTTTTTTATCTAATTTTTCTAACAGAAATAGCCAAACTTGAGAAGGAAGCTGTCAATGGGGATGAAGAATCTCAAATCAAATTAGGGAAACATTTTTTAACCTTGGCAGACTCTGAAATTAAACGTGAGATAAATGGAGAACAAGCAGTGAAGTGGTTTATACAGGCATCTAGACAGGGAAATGATGAAGCTACACAACTATTACAGAAATGTCAAAAAACTAAAACAGGTTAACATACAAAATGATAGATTTTACAATTGTTTTTTTTTAACTGGGATTTGTATTGGAATTTTTATTTATTGATAAGATGCGAGTTCATTACTTAAATACATTTTTAGCTCACCTGGCCCGAAGGGCCAAGTGAGCTTTTCTCATCACTTGGCGTCCGTCGTCCGTCGGCATCGGCGTCGTTAGCTTTTTACAAAAATCTTCTCCTCTGAAACCACTGGGCTAAATTTAACCAAACTTGGCCACAATCATCATTAGGGTATCTAGTTTAAAAAATTTGTCCGATGACCCCGCCAATCAACCAAGATGGCCACCATGGCTAAAAATAGAACATAGGAGTTAAATGTAGATTTTGGCTTATATCTCTGAAACCAAAGCATTTAGAGTAAATCTGATATGGGTAAAACTGATAATCAGGTCAAGATCTATCTGCCCTGAAATTTTCAGACAAATCTGACAACCTGTTGTTTGGTTGCTGCCCCTAAATTGGTAATTTTAAGGAAATTTTGCAGTTTTTGGTTATTATCTTGAATATTATTATAGATAGAGATAAACTGTAAACAGCAATAATGTTCAGCAAAGTAAGATCTACAAATAAGTTGTCATGACCAAAATTGTCAGTCGACCCCTTTAGGAGTTATTGCCCTTTATAGTCAATTTTTAACAATTTTTTGTAAATTTTTGTAGTCTTTTACAAAAATCTTCTTCTCTGAAACTACTGAGACAAATTTAACCATACTTGGCCATAATCATTATTAGGGTATTTAGTTTCAAAAATTTGTCCAACCATCATGGCCTACTTGGTTAAAAATAGAACATAGGGGTAAAATGCAGTTTTTGGTTTATATCTCTGAAACTAAAGTATTTAGAGCAAATCTGACAGGTGGCAAAAATGTTCATCAGATTAAGATTTATCTGCCCTGAAATTTTCAGACGAATCCGACAACCCGTTGTTGGGTTGCTGCCCCTGAGTTAGTAATTTTAGAAAAATTTTGCAGTTTTTTGTTATTATCTTAGATATCATTATAATATCTAATATCTAATACTATTAGTTATGCTTTTAACCTTATTTTACATGATTTCCAAAGCATCAGTAAATACAGGTGAGTGACACAGGCTCTTGAGAGCCTCTAGTTATTATTTTTATTTTAACTGGTGGATAGTTCTCTCATTGGCAATCATACCACATCTCAATAATTTTATATGGACATGATTTTTGATAGGTGTCAATTTATGTGTACTAGTATAAAAATCCATGCAAAAATATACATAAAAGGAAATGTGAAAATGGTCATATGAAAAAAGACTGTCATACATTTGGAATATGGATTTCCAGGAAATTAATTAGTTAACTAATAATACATGTATTATATACTAGTATACATACAACATTTAAAGAGTTTTAATGTAAAGACACTTTCAGAAAATCTTACTATTTTCAACAGGAATAACAGAGTTGAACCGGGAGGATGTGGAATGGTGTGTCAATACCAGTAACCTGGAGAAGAAAGTTAGACAAGCTGCTAGAAAACTCTACACAAAAATGAATGACACTCATAAAGAAGTTTTGTCTAAAGAAGACTACATCACAGCTGTAAAGAGAGTGACAGGAGGAGATGTACTGGAACAGAAATTACTCCTTGCAGCAGGTACCAGTCTTCCAATCACCACTTTTTTTGTCATTTCCTTGGCTTGCTGCAGGTACCATCTCAATCAGTACTAGTTTTGGTACTCCCTGCTGCAGGTTCAAATTGTACCACATTGTAATCCACAGAAAAATATATATTTTTTGGCCATTTAGTTCTTTAAAATAGGAACATGCGATTTATATGAGTATAAAAAGGGCATCTTAAAGGTCAAGGTTAAGAACCTTACAAATATTTTCTGCTCTCTACTAGTGGATATTGAACAAGATAAGGTGATATATTCGATTTCTAAATGATTTTTTAAACAATTTGTAAGCAAGCTGCTACCTTTTTCCAATGATCATCAAAAAGATTGTATTCTTTTTGTGAGAAATTCATCAGGCTTAGAAGACTTGTTTTTGTCGATGTCACAAGAGCCAAATCAGAGGAAGTAAGAACATTTTATTTCATAAATGAAAATATTTTACCAACGAAGAACTGTGATCATGCAACCTACACATAAGAAACATCATATTTAATAATATTGAAATCTTATAAGTAGAATATGTATTAATATGTAACTTGTTATATTACAATTTTGTCTTTAGATATTCCCTTATAATCCTCATCATGATATGAATATTTACAAATTGAAGGATGTAGAAATTCGTTGCTTCAAGCATTGAAAAGAAGAACCTTCACAATATAAGGAAATTTTATTTGTTTATATATTTGTTAAGGAAAGAAGATAGGTGATTCTATTAATGAGACAGAGTTTGTCAAAATCTTGTCCAAGAAAATTCAAGGAAACCTTACATTAACTTCAGAAGAAACAGAGGAGCATTCATCTGAATATAAAAGTGCTGGCATTGTTACAAAAGTAAGTTATCTGAATATGTTGGAAAAAAATAGGAAAAGATTTTAAAGAGAAAGAGAGAGTTAGTATAGGCAAAGTTGATAATTGTTTAAACTGTTAAAAAAATATACAGATAATATCTAGAAATTGAAATTTAGTATTTAGTTAATAAACAATAAAAAATTCAAGAATATCCAAAAGCAAATTGATTACACTAATTGAAAATTTCTTTATTCATGTTTTATTTGTATCAAATTCAAAGCAATACAGAAGATGACAATTTATGAACTTTTTGTAGAAGATCACATGTGAATAAGATTACAATGTAAAGAGATGTTTAATAGGTATTGAAATTAATTTAAAAAAATAGATTAAAGAAGTTTTTATTAATTGATTTTTGCAAATTTTAATTGCAATGTTTGGTTCTATAAAGACAAGCTCCCTTTTTATTTTGATGATATTTCAAATGTTGACCCAATATTATTATGGTTGAAAGTACTCACTTTTGTAGGACATTATTAGGTACATTTTCCATACTCTTATTTCTTTATTCTCATAAAGCCAACATTTTAATCGATACAGCAATAACAACAACAATAAATATTTAAACATACTCATTGCTCAATATAAAAGTAAGGAGATGTGGTATGATTTCCAATGAGACAACTATACACCAAAGTTCAAATGAAGTCGATGTAAGTAATTATAGGCAACTGTAAGGCTGACCCATCGAAACAACATCTGATTAAAAAAAAAAACACTTTTAGATATTTAGATATGATATATTGGCTCTCAATAGTGACGACTTCAGTATGTACACTAAAGAGGTTTATCCTGCCGAACTGACTTTAAATAAAGCTAATACTAACAATGAACACTGCCTTTTCCTGGATCTTGATATCTTTATCTTTAATGGGAAGCTTAATACCAAAATTTATGATAAAAGAGATGATTTTTCATTTCCTATTGTTAATTATCCATTTTTAGATGGTGACGTTCCCTTGTCGCCATCTGATGGTGTTTATATATCTCAACTTGTTCGATTCGCTCGTGTATGTAACAACGTATTTGATTTCAACGAAAGAAATCTCTGTATTACTGAAAAATTATTACACCAGGGTTTTCGATATCACAAACTAGTCAAAACATTTACTAAATTTTATCATCGGTACAAGGACATCATTCCATCATTCGTAAATATAAATCAACATGCAGACATCTTATACGTTCAGTATTTCACATCCAATATTTTATGGTAATATTCTCTACAAAGCACAAAAATGTCGGCATTCACCTAAAAAGCTAACCAAACCTTTAAACAGACTTATTCGGAAAGGATATAGTTACGATACTGTTGTCAAGTCATTAAGGATTGCATATTTTGGTATTGATATTGATTCACTCATAGGGTCTTTGCATCGGAAATAAACACATTTATTCTAAAACCAGTTGTTGGCATGATACGGGTTATGTTCTTCTCATATATTTTATGATGGTATGATACTAAACCCCTAACAGGAGGGATTGTACTTGATTTTCATATGATGAAGACACAATCTTTCAATCAGTTTAATTGAGGTCTGGAGCTGGCATGTCAGTAACTGCTAGTAGTCCTTTGTTCATTTATGTATCATTGTCATTTTGCTTAGTTTCTTTTGTTACCTATTCTGACATCGGACTCTGACTTCTTTTAAACTGAGTTTTACTGTGCGTATTGCTATGTGTTTCTTTATTTTACATTGGCTAGAGGTATAGGGGAGGGTTGAGACCTGTCCCAAGTCAGGAGCCTCTGGCCTTTGTTAGTCTTGTATGTTTTTTAATTTTAGTACATTTATATTTTTTGGAGTTTAGTGTGATATCCATTTTCACTGAACTAGTACACAATTTTATTTAGGGGCCAGCTGAGGACCACCTGTGGGTGCGGGATTTTCTCGCTGAGTTGAATACCCATTGGTGGCCTTCGGCTGGTGTCTGCTCTTTGGTTGGGTTGTTGTCTCTTTGACATATTCCCCATTTCCATTCTCAATTTTATTTCAACAATGAGAAAAACCCATCCAGTATAGTCAACTATAAAAGGCCCCAACATGAATGGCAATATAAAAATGACATGATAATTTTACCTGAAGCAATTAAGAATTATAGATTGTTCTTTTCAGTAAAAAATGTAAAAAACAATAAAAATGTAACATTAACTCAAATCTATTGCTTTATAAGATATTTCAACTCTAGATATTAAACAATTCTGCCCTTTCTTAAAAGTGATATGGTAAAACAATGTTGGTGTAAAATAGAGAAAAAGTAGTCATTAATATGATTTTTCTTATTACAGGTTTACAGATACCCTAAAGAAACTTTCCAAGCTATATTTGAACAAGGATTTGAAACAGTGTCTAAAGAGGGGATGAATTGGGTGACATCTTTGATTCCATCAAATCAGATACAACTGTTAATCTTATTTTATTTGTATAATTTTATAACAACTCCAATGATCCTCTTAATTGTACCTTTATTAGTTTTCTATTTAAGTGCTTTGGTCATGATTGTTACTACAGTACAGATGTTTTACAAAAAGAAGAAGATGAAGGACGCTGCAGCTCTGGCTAATGTACTCAAAACTTACGATGTTGGGGTAGATGTCAACGAAACTCGTTCTCAGTACTCTTGGAACTCTTTAACACCATATTTGGTTTTTTTTGGAGCATTACCATTGACTGTTGTTAGTTTTTCTTTAGCTAATAAGATGTATATTCCTTGCTCAGAGTTCTGTATTCTGGCGGGTGCCTTTGCAGGGCTTTGTTTTACAGCACTAAGTGACAGCCATGATATACTGATGATTCTAGCAGTGGTATTCAACTTAATTGCATCTCTACCGACATTTGTAAATAGTCTACCTCAGATTCCATTCATTACAGCTGCTATTAAATTAGTACTAGGAGCAGGGTTCTCCATTGAAGTAGGAGGAGGATTTCAGATTAATTTGGGATTACCAACGGTTAGTTACCTGGTGGTTCCAATCATGTTTATATTGATGGCAGCACGTGGTTCATGGAAGGGCACCTATCAAGTGCTGGTTCCCCACCTGGTATGTTACTTTTGGTGGCAGCTAATGGTAGCAGTCTTCCCTTTTACAACTTGGAAGGGACTGATACGTTCTGCTGTTGGCTATTTCTTCTTACCTATGCTTATACCTTTGGCTGTTCTCTTGGTAATTGTTGGGTTGTTTTATATTGTCTACAAACTGTTGATGACGGCTGTTTTTGGGAAGTTAGTTGTAACTCTGCTGTTGGGAGGATTAGCATTTCTCTTGTCTCAGACTAAAACCTTGTTTGGGAAGAAAACTGATAAAAAGTTAGGAACTACAAAGAAAATAATAATGGGAATATTTGCAGTGTTGGCTTTGCTACCAATGATCTTTGTACAGCTACCAACGACTAAAAAACCATCAAAGCAAGTCATAGCATGGGAGGAATACAGGAGCATTTGTGCTGCGAATGATGCTAATTCTGTTCCAGAACAATTAGCCTGCAGTTCTTTCATTGGATCCAGTATAACATGGACTGGTACCTTCAAGGAAGCTAGAATAAGTAAAATAGAAAATAGTGTTGAACCACTTTTGAAAGGAATGCCAGGATTTATAGCTAATTACCTCAGATGTTCATATGGAGGAGAGTATGGTGATTGTAATGACGAGACAAAATCGGAAAAAGAAAAAGAAGTATGTTCCTTGATGACCTCCCTAGGACATGAATGTCATCTAAATAGACACAACAGCTATTCATTTTCACTCCAAGTTAAAATGGAGGAGTTTGAGAAAGGAACTTTGGTCTTGAATGCAGGTAACAATTTTAAAGAGACACTGAGTGCATTAGAAGTGGAAGACAGGGTAGAATTTTCAGCAACTTTGGTCGATGGAGCAGGATCTCTTGCACCTCAGTTTAAATTGAAGAGCATTAAATGTCTTGATAGACAGTTGGACATTATGGCAGTTATGGAAGAAAATGATGAAGATTTGATATTACGATCAGCCAATGAAGCTATAGCAGTTGGTTTCAATTTCTTCTGGTACCCATTAGCAGAGTATATCCCTGACAAAGGCTTTCTGGCAGAGAAAGAAGAGGAGGCAGCAACTGTAGAATGATGACTGTGCCATTAAATTTACCATATAATAGAGGTATGTTTTGGATTAAAATGTAAAACAAGAGTTTTGTCTTTTTGGTTAAGTATCTACTGACAGAGTAGGATTATTGTGTAAGTGAATGCTATACAAAAGAACAAAAAATATCTAAAGAATTTTTTTTACTCTTTTTTTAAATTTACTTATGATTAATTAGTTAGATGGCAAACCGAATAGATAGAACATAAAAAAAATGAAGAAAATCACAAGATGTGGTTTTATTTACTGTTTATATTATAGATACAAATAACTTGCTTGAAACAAAAAAAGCATATATTTTACAAGTCTATTTATATATGCATAATAGTTACTTACGACATTGACTCTATTTATCATGTTTATGAGAAGAATCATTTAAAAAAAAAATGATGAGCAATGAAAAGTCTATTTGACATTTGTTGAATTAACTTAATAATTATCATGATTATAAATTTAAATTAGGAAAAGGAAATTGTCTCTTTTTTTAGCTCTTATTGTCTCCCCTACCATTTGCCAATGGCGTTGCTATAAATGATAAGTAACATCTGTACAATCTAGATTTTAGATATGAAATGATCTGTGAAAGAATATTTAAGTATCTAAGATGCTTTGGAAACCCTTTATATGGGATGTTTTTTTATGATAGCGGTGATCACAGTTATAGAAAACAACCTGGATTTCTAAGACATTTAATTGAGAATTGCTCATAATACCCACCTTTAATGTTATTACCAGTTAACTTTTTTTTTTAATTTTAAAATGTCATTTAGCATTACAGTAACTTTTACTGTTTCAAACAGAAGATAATGTTTAATAATGTTAGTAGACCTATTAATTATGTGCACATACACCATTATATATATAACTCGTCTCAAAATTAGCCCATATATATATTTATATATATATATGTCAACAATCATGTTAAACTACAAGATAATTGCAGTTCCTGTAAATGCTTTTAAAAATCTCCTTCTGATAACCATTTTTTCTTGAGAGGGAGGTTAATTCTAATGTGCCAGAAAAAATCTCCAAATGTCTCAGTTTTAGAAACTGTTGCCAAAAACACTTTAAAACAGTGTTTATACAATATAGAGTTCCAACCGTATCAGTCATGATGTTTATATAATTTATTAATTAATGGTTATATTCATAGAAAGTTGATTGAAAGATTTGATGAAAAATATGTATTTTATAGCAAAAAATAAAATGGAACTTTCCAACTGACGACCAGTGGAAAATTTATATTCTTAAACTTATATCCCACTAAATCATTTTCCAGAGATTGTGATCTATCTCTTTGAAAGTTGAAAAGTTGACACATATGAAAATTGAAATCATTGTATTGAAGATATTGAAAAAGGAAATATTAGACAAAATAAAATGTTATGATATAGAAACTTCTGATTGGTTTATGTCAAGATACTATTTTTATTACTTTAATTTTGAATTTTTATACAGTACTACTTAATACAGTTGTAGTTATTGTTGCACATAAGTCTACTTATAAGTAACATGCTTTTGTATTCTTGTTATATATATGTACATTATTGTTATGAGAAGTTATACTTCCTATATAGTTTAATAGATGCTTTGTTTATATCTGTATGGTTGTTGGATTGTTGAAAAAGATATATAATCAAATAATATTTATATAGTTATGCTGTTTTATTTATAGTAAAATTTATTGTATATACTCAGCCAAGTCTTTCTACTAAAATTGAAATAACATTTGTAAGAATTATTTTTATATAATATTTTCCTATTGACGATGAGGATTAGTTTCTAAAATACAGTTGTTTCATTTATTGAAGATTTAACTTTTATTTCAGTTTGCAAATTGTGATATTTTTTTTTATATTCTTATATAAATCTTGCTTTACAATATGAAGTCATTGACACATGTTGAATTTATATAAATGTTTTTTTCAAAATGGATTTTATGAACATGATGAAAAGTATCCGATTATTTTTAGCTCACCTGGCCCTGGTGAACTTTTCTCATTACACCGTCGTCGTCCGTTACCTTTTACAAAAATCTTCTCTGAAACTACTGGACCAAAAAGTAAAATAACAAATCTACCGAACTCCAAGGAAAATTCAAAACGGAAAGTCCCTTTTCAGATGGCAATATCAAAAGCTCAAACACGTCAAACCAAATTTAACCAAACTTAACCACAATCATCATTGGGGTATCTAGTTTAAAAATGTGTCCGATAACCCCACCTACCAACCAAGATGGCCGACATAGCTAAAAATAAAACATAGGGGTAAAAGGCAAGTGTTATCTATTATTTTGAAAACTGTTATAAATGCAGAAATGTTCAGAATGTTGAGCTTTACCAATTGTCTATTTATGTTGGAGTAATTTCTCTTTAATGACTATTTTTACCAATTTTTTTTTTGCATTTTGCCTTGTATGATAAAAATTAAAATAGATAAATAGGAACTTTAAAAAGCAAAAATGATCAGCAAGGCAAGATCTACAAACAAGTCAAATTTTGCTGATTTAGTAAGTAGATTGCCAATTTTTGTAGGAGTGATTGCCCTTAAATGAGGATTTTTTTAACCTATTTTGTGTTTTGAGCAAAAACTAAGAAAGATAGAGAGAAACTAAACAGACAAAACGATCAGCAATACAAGATCATCAAAAAGAAATTTTTGTCATGAATTCTATTCTCGTCTTCAATGTTGGAGAGTGTCCTTTGTTGAATATGCGCATAGACCTAGGTGAGAGACACAGGCTCTTTATAGCCTCTAGTTTGTTGATGTGATAGTCTTGAAGTTCTTCCCGTATTATTTTACATGATAGTGCTTTTTGTTCTGATAGACGTCTGTTTACTATGTCAAAGTTAAGGTTCTGAATAGATAAAATTACAAAAAGTATAAATCAGTACAGTCGAGTACAAATACTGCCCATTTCAGACAATAATTGGTTAGTAGTAATATATAACAGCTTCAAAATTTTACTTACTGGGTCTCGTTATGGATGTCATGGGATTCTCTCAGTTTTTTTGTTTTTTTTACCCTGATTTGTTATTTATGAGATTTGAATATTGGTTTACAATATTACCTCTAGTTTAACTAAGTTTTTCTCTACTAATCATATCATTGTCTAGGTTAAGGTCAGCATTTTTTAACAATACATGTATTTCTTCTTTTCATATATGTAGTAGATTGCCTTGAACGTTTTTATGCATAACGTATCTCTTATGTTACATTTGTGCCATTAGGTGAATGCCTATTATTTTGTCAGTGTTTTTGAAAATTTGACTAATATGTTACAAGCAAGTTTATTACATTATATCTATCCCGTTGACAAGAACCCATTCATTTGTTATACATTAATAATTTTGGAACTAAAATGATGGTATGTAAAAAAATTAATCAATTAAATTATTTTATTTTCTTTTTTAAAAATGTTTAAAGTAAATTAAGTACTTCAAATAGAAATAAAATGGTCTTGTTAATAAACTTAAGGAATAGTGCCATACAAGTATTGGAAGAATGATTGTAAACGAAATGACAAAACTAGTTACTGACAGAAGGCAAGTTAACAACAGATATTGCAAACATGTAGATTAAAGATATATATATGCAATAATTTTTTTTACGTTTGTAAGTTTTATATATTTCTAAGGATTGAAAATTATTTGATGTAAGATTTTTCTACAGACGTTGCAATTATATCTATTCATTTTAATATTTATTAACACTTGATAATAAAAACCTTTTTTCTTGTTAGTTTTCTGATTATTTATTGTTTTGAAATTTCCATAAACATACTTTGTGCATCATCTGTTAGTATATAAAAAGAACATTTTATAAATTTATCTTCACCTGGAACGCTCAAAACTAAACATTTGAAAGCCGAGGATGTATAAATGTTTGAGAAGCTATATGACAATAAGTAGACATAAGAAGATGTGGTATGAGTGCCAATAAGACAACTCTCCATCCAAGTCATAATTTGTAAAAGTAAACCATTATGGTCAAAGTACGGCCTTCAACACGGAGCCTTGGCTCACACCGAACAGCAAGCTATAAAGGGCCCCAAAATGACTAGTGTAAAACCATTTAAACAGGAAAACCAATAGTCTAATCAATATGAAAAACGAGAAACGAGAAACACTTATGAACCACATCAACATACGACAACCACTGAACATAGTGGCCATAAAAACACTCTTTCAAGATAGCAGGCTTGAAATGTTTGTACGCCAGACGTATTTCGTCTACATTTATCAGCGGAAAATTTAAGAACAAATTAATAACTTATATAAGACTATTTATAGCTTTGTTATTTGTTAAGATCTTCTGAGCTGGCTTAGATTTGCAAACGTATGCTGTATGGTGGGTTTCCATTTTCTTCTCTGTCTTTGTACATCCGTATATATGACAGCTGGTTTTAGGACACCTTAAATTGCATTCATTCTAGTAGTATATATAACAAACAAACAAAAAACATCTACAGGAATTCTTTAGTCGTGTTCATTGGCTAGATTTCATACTGGATCTATCAAAGTGTTAAGATCACTTTTAATTTGTTTTATCTAAAATCTAATTTGAATGAAGAGACCTTGAGCATCTGTACGAAATTCCTTGCTTTTCATAATGCATGTTTTAACTAAACATCTCCCCCAAGTGCATATACTGGTGTAAAGCAGTCAAGTTCATGTTCACCGATTTAACCCAAATTCTCATACTTGATTTATAACATACTAAAATGTATATCCAAATTACCAAAGTTCAAAAGAAACAATTAACAATACAGGAGGTCGCAATTTCGTTCGTATTTAGACAAGACGCCATTTTCTTATCCATCGAGATGACCTCCAAAGAATGTCATCGAACATATAACTCGATATAAACAAGAATATAAATATAAATAGATAACGAGCACGTGCAATCAGATTTTTTTTTAGGTCTGTTTGATATCATTTTATAGGTTAAATTATATATGTAAATGATCGCTTTACTTGTATAAGAATATTTTTTTGTTGGACGGATCAGTCAACGAGATTGTTATTCCTAATGCCTCCCTTGTTTCACTTTTCAATGTTGACATACTTTTTAATCAATGGAAATGCTGACCACCACACGCTAAAGACATGCGCAAGGTCAAACTAAAGGTTGCATGAATACGGATGTGAATAAGTTGAATTATTGACTTGCAAGTCAATACACCAGTTATGTCTTTTAGCTTTTTTGACGAAATTGAACGAAACTGTCTGCTAATAGCGAAACATTATTTCTTTATTCCACTTTTATAAATATATCATTCGATTCCCTCGGTTTCTGTTTGTTACCTTGATCTGTCTCTTCCTGATAGATTTACGAAGTTTGAACATTCGTAAACTACTGTCGCCTTAATTTATGCATTTGCTGATTCATATATTGATATCGTTTTCTGATCCTGGAGAAATACATATACGATTTAAATGACGCGTTATTCTGTTCATAGAAAGTAGAAGCACACGATACAAAAACATGATTTTTAAGAAGGTTAATTTTTTGAATAATATGTAAGCGTAACTTATATGGATTTTGTTGAACTTAATGAACTAATCATCAGCTATCGCAAACAATTTTTCAAAAGATGAACTTAAGTTATGAACATTTTGTGAAGTTTAGCCACATACGGCAAAATTGGATATTCTACGATCCAAATTTTATTGATATTATAACAGACACATGTACATTTTATACATTAAACTAATTTTTGTCTCGCCTGCTTTAGTCGCAGTATGCGAGACATAGGTATTACTATCCGGCGGCGGCGGCGTAAACTTTTTGTATAAAGCTTTATATTTCAGAAGGTAGAATATCTGGATGCTTCATACCTTGTATGGAGATACCTAATGTTACGAAGTTTCCGTCTGTCATATGCCCATTGCCCTTGACCTCATTTTCATGGTTCAGCGACTGCTTGAAAAAAAAAATTTACAGTTTTTTTGTCATGTGAATTTCTCACTTATTATGAGTAATGGGGTAACTATATTTAGTATATGGGTTCCTTGCAACGTCTACATGTCCTTCAGATAGGGTTAACCTGACCTCGACCTCAATTCATGGATCAGTGATCAAGGTATAAGTTACGTGATTAGGTCCGTTTCTCAGATATTACAAGCAGCAGGTCAACTATATGTGGTGTATGGAATGATTGTAAAGTGCACATGTCTGTCTAGCCGGTATCATATGACCTTGACCTCATTTTCTTGGTTCATTGGTCAATATTAAATATTTGTGTTTTGGTCATTTTTTCAAGTACTATAAGCAATAGGTCAACTATATTTGGTTTCTGGAATGATTGTAAGGTTTACATGTCTGTCTAGCCAGTGTCATCTGACCTTGACCTCATTTTCATGGTTCATTGGTCAATATTAAGTTTTTGTGTTTTGGTGTTTTTCAAAAACTAATAGCAATAGGTCAATTATAATTGGTGTATGGAATGATTGTAAGGTGTACATGTCTGTCTAGCCAGTATCATCTGACCTTGACCTCATTTTCATGGTTCATTGGTTAATATTATGTTTTTGTGAATTGGTCTGTTTTTCAATCACCTTTAACAATGGGTCAACTATATTTGGTGTATGGAATAGTTGTAAGGTGTACATGTCTGTGTGACAGTTTTTATCTGACCTTGACCTCGTTGTAACGGATCTTTAAAAATGTTAAGTTTATGTGATACATGTATTTAAACCTTTATCTTTAAGACTTTCAACATAAAATCAATGGTCAGTAAAACAGGCGAGACATTTCAGCATGTGCACTCTTGTTTAACATATTTTTATTCAGTGTAATTTCTGAGGGACAGTGCTAATTAGTCATATATTTATCTACTTTAATTTACAAAATGTTTATAAATTCAAAGCGGAGGCAGTGCAAAATTAAAATTTGACAAAAACAGACACAAAACGAATAATGACGAGTCAACAGTAGTCCACAAAACACTACATATGGATTTATCCTCACAAACCTAGACTCGTATGATTCATCAATATCTATAGACTTATTTATAACCTTGTATACTAAAATGTTACAGATTATTCCTGTTATTTACAAACACAATGGTTTCCCTTCCTTGTTTACACCCAAAAAAGGCAGCAAATACCACAGGAATATTAAAACTCATAACACCATGGGAAAAAACAAATACCACAGGGATATTAAAACTCATAACACCATGGGAAAAAACACCAAATACCACAGGGATATTAAAACTCATAACACCATGGGAAAAAACAAATACCACAGGGATATTAAAACTCATACTACCATGGGAAAAAAAACCCCAAATACAACAGGAATATTAAAACTCATAACACCATGGGAAAAAAACAAATACCACAGGGATATTAAAACTCATAACACCATGGGAAAAACAAATACCACAGGGATATTAAAACTCATAACACCATGGGAAAAAACAAATACCACAGGGATATTAAAACTCATAACACCATGGGAAAAAACAAATACCACAGGGATATTAAAACTCATAACACCATGGGAAAAACAAATACCGCAGAGGGATATTAAAACTCATAACACCATGGGAAAAACAAATACCACAGGGATATTAAAACTCATAACACCATGGGAAAAACAAATACCACAGAGGGATATTAAAACTCATAACACCATGGGAAAAAACAAATACCACAGGGATATTAAAACTCATAACACCATGGGAAAAACAAATACCACAGAGGGATATTGAAACTCATAACACCATGGGAAAAAACAAATACCACAGGGATATTAAAACTCATAACACCATGGGAAAAAACACCAAATACCACAGGGATATTAAAACTCATAACACCATGGGAAAAAACAAATACCACAGGGATATTAAAACTCATACCACCATGGGAAAAAAAACCCCAAATACAACAGGAATATTAAAACTCATAACACCATGGGAAAAAAACAAATACCACAGGGATATTAAAACTCATAACACCATGGGAAAAACAAAAACCACAGGGATATTAAAACTCATAACACCATGGGAAAAAACAAATACCACAGGGATATTAAAACTCATAACACCATGGGAAAAAACAAATACCACAGGGATATTAAAACTCATAACACCATGGGAAAAACAAATACCACAGAGGGATATTAAAACTCATAACACCATGGGAAAAACAAATACCACAGGGATATTAAAACTCATAACACCATGGGAAAAACAAATACAACAGAGGGATATTAAAACTCATAACACCATGGGAAAACACAAATACCACAGGGATATTAAAACTCATAACACCATGGGAAAAAACAAATACCACAGAGGGATATTAAAACTCATAACACCATGGGAAAAACAAATACCACAGAGGGATATTAAAACTCATAACACCATGGGAAAATCAAATACCACAGAGGGATATTAAAACTCATAACACCATGGGAAAACACAAATACCACAGGGATATTAAAACTCATAACACCATGGGAAAAAACAAATACCACAGAGGGATATTAAAACTCATAACACCATGGGAAAAAACAAATACCACAGGGATATTAAAATTCATAACACCATGGGAAAAAAACAAATACCACAGGGATATTAAAACTCATAACACCATGGGAAAAAACAAATACCACAGGAATATTAAAACTCATAACACCATGGGAAAAAATTAAAAACAACGAAAAGACAAACAACAGTCTACAAAACACAACATAGAAAACAAGACTGTGAAACACTAACCCAACTTAAACCGAGGGTGACCCCAGGTGCTCCGGAAAGAATAAGCAGATCCTGCTCCACACCAAGGTCCCTCCAATATATTTTACTGTAGTATATTACAATATTTGATAATAGTTCGATTATTGTTTCATATGGTATCCACTGAAATCGATCCCAAAATTGAAAATTGATCTCATGTTGAAAAAATATTTAGGTATTGATAATATAACTATTTTAAAGCATATAGATACATTTATACATATACTTGACAGTCATCGACCAACAGAGAATGGATGTTTGTTTTGTCAATATCATATTACAATGAATGAAAAAGTTTATTTACTACGAGGTATAATATACTTTAGAACCAGTCTGTAGAGCTTCAGTCAACATATAAACTAGCTTGGTTGCCATTATAACACTTTCGCCTGTTACTGTACATTCTTCTTCACCTTTAAAACAATAACATCATTGATTTATATATTTCATTACATAAGATATTTCATACAATGAACTTTTCTGCTTTTTAATATTTTACCTACTTTGTGTTTTGATTTCTAGATTTGAGGAACGTTCTTGTATGTTATAACACAAATCTTTTTCTATTATTTTGTCATTTTCTCCATGTCCTATCATGTTCTTCTATGTATTGTAAATGTCACTTTTATTTTTTTTTTAGATAAAAAGTAAGATACCGAAGAAACGAAAAACGTGGACAGAAGGAAAAAAAAAACAACAAAAAAGACAAACATAACACATAACACTAAAGATAAAGGAACATTAACAAAAAACCAGGTGTGAATTGAAGTGCTTTGGAAGGGCTCCTGTTCCACTACTAGCACCCGTCATGTTGTTCATGGAAAGTTATAAAATCAGCAAACCTCTATCGAAAGGAATAGGGATAGAATGTTGTATCAATTCAAAGATAATTCGCCAGATTCAGATAATGCTAGGATGTTACTACAAAGAAATAGATAGTTTACAATGATCATTGGAATCCTCTCTGTGATGAAAAGTACAGTTTTGAATTCTTAAGGTTGATAAAAAGTACAATCACAAAAATACTGAACTCCGAGGAAAATAAATTAATGTAATGTGCTTTTATGTTTAGAATGAGAAATACTTTTTGTAAAGGGCAGAAAATCAATTGTTTTATGGTACTGCACAAGTAAAGGGCGTAAATTGAATTGTATGTATTTTAACAGATCATTGAATTTTATTAGTTTAAACATTCTATTCACACTGTACCTGGAGTAAGTTGAGTCACGCACGGTTTTGATTTATAAAATAAAGGTTAATAATTTTGAAAGAGGTTTTTCCTGCATCATGGACAGACCAAACATAAAACGATGGTTGTACGGATACTTATGTCATTTGAACATTAAGTTAGGTATATGAATAGTCAGTGCCTCATCGTTCGTTGAAAGACCACGAAACAGGAATACATTTCCACGTAAGGAAGTATCGTGTGTGTATATGTTGGGTTTGATGTGAATTGTCAAAAGACATGCAGCACTTTTATTATCCTTTACATTATAATAAAATGAAAATCATAACCGTAAGAGAATAGCTAAAACTGTAAAAACCCTAGGGATTGGGAACCTTTTTATGTACAGATATAACATCCATAACAATACGTATAAAATAACATTTCTATATGAGGTAAACATTCATCAAGGATACCAGGCTTATAATTCAATCGATGAGTTTTTATAATCTAGTAAGTCTGACGCGCGTTTCGTCTACAAAAGGATAATCAGTGGCGCTCGTCTCAACAGTTATAAGGCCAAATAAAGAACGAAGCAGACGAGGATTGAGGATCCCGACATATCAGTTGAAAGTTTCAATATTATCTTATTGCAATACTGGAGTACTGACTACAGTGCTGGCGATATCATTAGGGACGAAACGAAACGAAACGAAACGGCTATCATTAGTGGCATCGACCATGTGTTTATAAATCTTATCAAAGATAACAGGCTTATAGCTGAGTACCCCAAACAGGCATGTCGTCTTCGCAAGACCCACCTGTGGCGTAAAAAATTAGTATTCACAAATCCTGTGTAACATACGTTTACCTTTAACAACGTTGATAAAATGAGACATTTCTGCAGCAAAAGAATCTAAATATCTGTCTAGAAATCCATCCACTAAATAGTATGGAGGCAAGTGCGTGCCTTTATCGTCAGTGATTTCTAACTGTGACTCTCGTATGTTTGTTACATCAGCCACCTGTTTTGTTCCTAAAATCTATAAAGAAATGAGAAATTCCAGAAATGACTTATATCCAAAGGAAAAACGTTAGCAATAAGACATAAATAGTACCATTTCAATACACCAGATGCGCATTTCGACAATTAATTGATGCTTAGGCCAAAAAATTTGAATAGCAAAGAATAAGAAAATAAAATTTTATAAAAAATATTAAAATTCAGCACTCCTTACCTGCATATCCAAATTCAAAACAATTATCCATAAAAGAACAAAAGAAAAGAAAAAGCAGAAATCAGAATTATAGGAACAATGAACAATTAAACACGTAAACAACCAGTTCAAAGCATACACAATAAATTGTTCATAAAATTAATATTGTAGCCAAAGTTGTTTTGTTACAAATTAAATTCCAATGCTTTCGATAATTAAAAATGTGTGCAAGTGTTGTAAAAGCATTTTTTGTGCGTTTTATTAACCCTCAAAATGACAGATACATACTTTCACAGACTGTTGATAACCTCCACATGTCACCCGGTTAAGGTCTAAATGTACTAATGTACCATTTTTGAATTTGATCAATCCCATGGCCGTGTCATATTCCCCGTACGACTGAAATCCCTCCGACATCACTGAAGTATGTGAACCGATAGCTGTACAGAATTCTGGTTCGTCCCCTATTATCCATGCTATGTAATCAATGTCATGTATTCCCATATCTAGAAATATTCCTCCTTTATAAAAAACAAAAAACCAAATACAAAATCAAAAAAAAGCTAACGATACAACTGGAAACAAACCAAAAACAAATGAGACGAACCAACAAAACAACACATTTACAACTAAATCTAAAAGATGATGCTACAAAGAGTCGAAGCGGAAGATACCAAGGAGCATATCTAATAACTATTAACTGAATAATTACGTAACATGGTAACTTAATGTTTTCATTTAATTTGTATTATTTCAAAACGGCATCCAAACTAATTTCTTTTCCAATTCACATAGTTCTAAACAAAATTGTTTGTTTTTTGTTTTTTTTTTTTGTGGTTGAAGGAGTGAGCTCTTTTGAGTGTGCTTTGTTTTGTTGTTGTAGTTGTTATTTTCGCTCGTTTATATTATATTGATTTGTTTTAGTCTTTTTAGGGAGGGTTATAATTGTACCGAGTTGTAAAATAGCACTTTTAGTTTTAAACAATTGTTGCTCAAATTTATTCAATAAATATTAAGGAGACAAATGTGACTGGCTGTAAAATAGACAATAAATGAAACAAAAGTAATTTTGAGACGTCATTTTAGACCCATTCTAATCTTTTGACCTCCAAAACGTTGTGCTCTGATTATTTCTGAGTAATTTTTATCCAGAAAGCGTTTCTAACACTGTATCATGTTAAGAAATTGATATACCTCTAGGTCAATACCACACGTATATGATGCTTAGGCATCACAAATTCCATTTTTAAATAGTCAATGGTTTGATCTATTTCATTTATTAATGCTAAATTGAAGATGATAAATTTTGCAACACAAACCAGTTTGAACTTCTTCCTAAGTATTTAAAACAGTTTTGACTTTCAAACTGGTGATTAGTAAGCGTAAAAGGTCTTCAATGACAATAACTTTCTTTTTTAAGACATCAACTACAAAATTAGGGGAAATTCAAATAAAAAAACAAGCAAAAATAACGAGTGATTAGGTAATCAATATTTTTTTTTACAAAAAACAACATAATATAATAGGGAGCAATGAAAATAATGAACAGTCTTTTCGTTAGTTTTTACTGTTACTAAAGACTTAAAATTTCATTACCTTTGTTGTGAGCAAAATATTCCAAATTAGTTTGATTATCTCTGCTTTCCATCTTGACGGTACGAATTTTACCGAAAGCTCCATTTTTGACCAGGAGGCGAACATGGGAAAACTGTTTATCGAAGCGTCTACATAAATAAATATACACGGAATAGTTAACAGTGTGAGGCAGTAATTATCTGTTTTCCTTATCGTTTTGCATTTTCAGCTTTGAATGACGTTGCATAAACAAAACACACTTAAAAGTTTCGTTTTGGCCATTTTTGTTCAACTGACTACACATGTGAATGCACTAAAATGTCATTTAATATACTTTTACATTTCCAATTTCCGCGCGTTTTTTCTAAAGTCTTCAGCTTTTAATGACGTTGCATAAAAAAAAAACACAATTAGATTTTTCGTTTTGGCCATTTTTGTTCAACTGACTACACATGTGCATGCACTAAAATGTCAGTTAACCCCGTGATGCCTGTTATAAGTCAGTAATTTTGCTATTAATATCTCTACTAGGACATTTGCTTTTCGCTCTGTATATCCCTTATTCGTTATTGACACAGATGGACGACTTCAAATTAGATTCTATGTCAAACGTGATGATTTCTATTTTCCAATTGTTAACTTTCCATTTCTCAGCAGTAACATTCCTTCTGCTCCATCGTATATCATTTACAGTCTTAATTAATATGTTACGCACGTCCATGTTAACAATTACGGACTTCATAAACAGGGATATGCTCTTTACAAAAAAATACAGCTCTACAAGAGTGAGGAGGAAGACCGACTGAAATCGACACTTCATAAGTTTTACGGTCACCATCCAGAATTGGTTGACTGAAACGATGTGTCGTTGTTTCAGCTTACTAGTGTTGTATTTTCGCTGTCTTTAATCTTCAAATATTAATTTAGTCGTCTGATCTGTACTTTTACCGATGGTGTCCTATTCCCGACTGTAACATTTTAACTAAATGTGAATTCGCATGGCTGGTGATGCATGCATAGCAGAGGAGGCATACCCTGTCGATGCACCTCAATGCACCGGAAGTATGATAGTATGAGTGGGGCATGGTGTCCTATTGACACATATTCCTAATCCTTGTACTTTGTTTATTAAGACTTGGGTTTTTATGCGTGTCATTGTTCACATATATTTGAGAGCTACTCAGGAATCTAGTCGATGTAAAGTTTTCCGTATGATATGGACGCATGGTTTTCAATTCTTATTTTCACCCAATAAATTGAAGAAATCAAATAATGCAATAAACAATAATAAGAAAAGGACTTCAAAACAAACTTGATACCGGTATTTCATTTCTTTGCACACCCATTATCTAATAATGACATTTTTTGCAGGAAAACATTGTATGGACATAAAACATGCAACTATAAAAGAAACTCAATAGTAAAACAATCATTAATATTCGTTATTATGTTTTTTAAACATTATTCACCATACGATGAAAGTCTTTGCATTGACGCTGTTAAACTTTTAATATGTACCCTATTAGTGTACACAACACATGTTTGCGTTGACATTTACCTGTTTAATGCGCTCATCCAAATGCAAGACGTCAAAGTCACTTGCCTGTTTAATGCGCACATTAATGATTGTATTGCATCTTATCTGTTTAATATGCACCTTAAATGATTGTGCAGCATCGTATGTGTTTAATAGATATAGGAAGATGTGGTATGAGTGCCAATGAGACAACTCTCCATCCAAGTTACAATTTATAAAAGTAAACCATTATAGGTCAAGGTACGGCCTTCAACACGGTGCATTGGCTCACACCGAACAGCAAGCTATAAAGGGCCCCAAAAAATTACTAGTGTAAAACCATTCAAACGGAAAAAACAACGGTCTAATCTATATAAAAACGAGAAACGAGAAACACGTATGAACTACATAAACAGACGACAACTACTGTAATCAGATTCCTGACTTAGGACAGGTGCAAACATTTGCAGCGGGATTAAACGTTTTAATGGTACCAAACCTTCTCCCTTTTCTGAAACAATAGTATAACATCACAACATAGAAAAACACACTATAAAATATCAATTGGAAGGTTTAACTCAATCAAAAAACGTAAATTAACACACAATGAACGAATAAATTTGACCTGTGACACCTGAATGCAAATACACAGTTAATAAAAAATTACAAGGGATAAATAATTAAAGTCAAAAGTAAATAAACAGGTTTCAACAAAGTTAAAGTATGATATCACTGTGAAAAGTCAAATATTTTTTTAGGAAATCATCACTTTTGAAGAAAACAACATTAAATGATTGTGTTGCCTTGTACCTGTTTAATGCCCACCTTAAATGATTGTGTTGCATCTTACCTGTTTAATGCGCACATTAAATGCTTTCCTTGTCGTTTGGCTTCTTCATAGCACTCTTTTACATCTTCAACAGTAATGCATAATGGTTTCTCACAGAAGACATGTTTACCTACCAACAATACATTACTATTATCATCATTATTGCACGAAAAAGTGTTACAAAAAGAAATGATAAGGGTTTTCATTCATATTTAATACCACACTGTAGTAAATCCGAAGTAAGTTCATTGACAGAGGTTGAGTAGTAAGTCAACTTACAAACAGACAAACCGAAGTCATTTCAGAAGCAAGCTATATTGTGGCAAGAACAGAACACACACATTAATTATGTCAGATAGATAAACAATTGACTACAACTGCTCAACTTTGAAAACTACTTTTACTAAATTTCTTTACATATTAAGTTCATGTTATGACGACAATTCATGATAAAAGATGCAAAGCGTCAAGGGTTCAGAAGACAAGGTACGCTTTGGGGCCACATTGGCCCTAAAATCAAATATATTTCAAAAGAGAGGCGAAAGATACCAAAGGGATATTCAAACTTTTAAGTCGAAAACAAACTGATAACGACAAGGCAAAAAAAAAAACGAAAAACGACAAAAAGACAAACAACAGTACACAATAGTTATCAAAGGTACAAGGATTACAATTTAATACGCCAGACGCGCGTTTCGTCTACATAGTAAGACAAAACACAACTGAATACTGAACAACATGAACCCCACAAAAACCCGGGGATGATGTTGATGATACGTCTAATTAGGTAGGTCACATTCGAAAAGAGAAAGGAATTGTGATTACGACAATTGGAACATATCTGTCGTCATCTGTGAAACAGATATTTCATAACGGTCAAAATATCTCGAATTTTCAAAATTAAATGTTGAATGTATGAACTTTGAGGTTGCAATTCTGTAAATATAGACAATACAATTTGCCATAGGAACTCCCTTTGCGGCTAAAACTGTGCCACTTTTACTAGGAAGTTTCGTGAAAAATTATATCCCAGAACGGAAAGTTGATATACACTACTATTTTATTCAAAGGTCAAAATATAGGGCTGTGCAGCATATTTTCAACATTTATATGCCCTGAACTTTTAAGAGTTTAAACTTACACTAAAATTCTATACTCCCCCTACCTTCACTTTTGGACCTCCTAAGAATTAAATTTTAGGCGCTGCCATTTTTTTCTATACTGGTAACATTCTCAAGTTATGTCTCTATAAGATGAAACACAGAGATCATATCTGGGAACCAGTACGTTAACAAAAAAAATTAAACTAATATTATAAACCACATTCAATTAAAAATATAATCGATCATAAATTTCTATACCTATAATGGTTAACTTTTATAAATTTTGACTTGGATGAAGAGTTGTCTCATTGGCACTCATACCACATCTTCTTATATCTACTTACCTGCTTTTAATGATTTCATTATAAACTCTTTATGAAGCCCAGTTGGTACACATATTACTACCATTTCAACTCTGAAAGAACGATCATATATTGTTATGAAATACACAGGAGTGTCAGGCCCTATGATGCATACTTATGATGAAATCATATACATTGTAACGTTTCATTCAATTACAGGTGTATTGTTGATAAATAGCCACTTGTTAGGACACATAAATAAGGATTCACGTATGCACACAAAAAAAACGGTTTTAAAAAACTGTTTAATATAAGCAGACACTTATAATCTCTGCACACGTTTCAGCCTCGAGGCAAATACAACTTCGCGCGAACATTAGTGTTTTCGGGCACCAAATGCAAGTATTTCATTACTATTAAAAGCATATCTTCATGAAATGGGACGGAATCGGAAACACATGAATACGTTTTAATCTATTTCGTACTGTGTCACCACAGCACTACAATTTAATTTTTTGAGGAAGAACAACTGAAATTGACACTACACATGTTTCCGGTTACCATCACTATTTGGTTGATCAATACGACGTGTCGGTGTCTTTATTCCCGAGCAATATCTTTTCGCGATCTTAAATTTTTAGATACCAGTATAATCTGATCTGTAATTTTCTGGATTGTGACATTTTGACTAAGTGTGAATTCGAATGGCGGATGATGGTTTATTAGCAATAACCTAATCAAAGATACCAGGATTGAAATTTTGTACGCCAGACGCGCGTTTCGTTTCAAAAGACCCACCAGTGACGCTCGAATCAGAAAAGTTAAAAAAGTCGAATAAAGTATGAAGCAAGAGACGCTTACCCTGTCGACACTTCTGGTATCGCTCCTTTTAGAGTTCATGATCGAAAATATTTCATGGGCTAGGTTGGGGTGATTAATGAATATGCTGCAGCTATATCGTAAGATAGATGTTAAAATATCTTCTTTATGTATTACCGTTTAGTCTTTTTCATATATTGTTGTATATGTATTGACCTAATTGATTAACGTGTTGTTTTCATTTTTTTTACAGCACTGGGTCGATACCTCTGCTAATGGACTACCAGTCCCCGAGGGTATCATTAGCTCATAAGTCAATACTTCGGTACTGACATAATTAATAATAAACTTTTCTAAAATTGTCCGTTTACAAATTTTTAAATTATGAAGAAACTAAGGTTTTAACTCCCTCAGGTAAAGTTGATAGATTTGGCTATTTTTTGGGGATCCTTTTTGGTTATATAGCTATTCAATTGTTTCGGTTCTTATACATCCTTGGCTTTCAAATATTATGCTTTGAGCGTTCCGGATGAAGGTAAATCAAGAAAAGCGCTTTGGACGCATTAAATTTATAACTTGTTGTTTTCATTTTTTTTATTGTTGTCCTTCGTATCTTCCATCATGTTATTTTTACACATGTTTAAATTTATGTCTACAGTTAATACCAGCCATCCTTAAATAGAATGACACAACTGCTCAAATTAAGCTTGTTTTTTTTCTCTTCAGCCAATAAACTCATAAAGTGAATATAACGAATCATGTTTTGTTGAAAAGTATACAAAATTACAAAAATATCTATAAAGTTAAATCTTTAAGTTATTAAAAATATATTCAATGCAATACGATGGATCATACACATGGGGGAAATATTTTCAACGATTACCTTTCGTCCGCCATCACAGTTTCAAATTGATCCGGGGTTGTTATATTTGAATCAACAAGATCATAAAAGTTGGCTAATTCCTTCAGATTTCCATGAACAGCAGCAGTGTCCACCATCCAATGAATCTGAATACAATGACTGTTTACCATATTTTTTAAATGAACCTGTCCAATACGACCAACACCAATGATAGCAGCACCAATGCGGTTCATCTTTTTTTTTAACTATAAACAGATGTTAACATTATTGTTATAGTTCAACATTACTATTGACAAATTGACTTGATGTGAATTATCTATATTTAAAAAAGGTAAAGTTGTAACAAGTATCAATTTCTATCTGGTTGTGTACAAGTTTCTGAGAATATACTTTCCAATACAGAAGTATCATTTGGATTTTATATTTCCGAAAATGGTATATTTTTAGGCAGGAAATTCGGAAACTCAAAAGGCGTTAGGATCATATGCCTACTAAGTATATGCATCGTTATGGATGACAATTTTACAATCCAATGAAGAAATATATCGTAAGGTTTACACACATTAAGAGTTTTGTATAAAAAAAATCATAAATCATGACTTTATATTTTGAAATAAAGATGAACTTCATGGATATAACATTTAAAGGCTACTATTCATTGCATACTGCGTGCATTATTGACTAACGAAAGCCACTGGACACAATGCAGTAGGTGTTGCTGTTGATGTTTCATCGCCTATGGGTTATAATCACGTCGAAGGAACGATGTAAGTTTTTCAAAATGCTGTTTAAACATTTTTTACCGAAAGCGAAAAATATACATAGAACAAGATGGACAACGTTCCAAAAGCGTGTGATAATAAATGAAACTATATTTAAAAAATACTCACGTTATGAATAATCAATATGGATTTGTAGATCAAGTGTCTAATGCGATAAATATAAAAATGCACAAAATCTTACTTTTCAAGACGACAACAATAAGATTGTATTAAAGGTATCAAATGTAGAACAGTTTATCTACCTGTATATAAACAACCTCTGACCTTGTTACATGTATAAATTTGTAATTTCGGACGCTAAAAATAATCTTTCACAGACAGATTGATAGATTATGACATAGCTTTTCTACCTTTATCTTGTCAAGAACATTGGTAAATCAAACAGGTGCGTCAAATTGTACTTCTATCAGATTTTGTATAAAATGGGGTACTTCCATTAAATTAATACGATATCAAATTTGACCTAATAAGACCATGGATACATAAGACGTCTAGTGATTGTGTCATCATTCACTTATTAATAATATTAAGAAGAAGAAGAAGAAGAAGAAGAAGAAGAAGAAGAAGAAGAAGAAGCAATAAGTCTTTTAATTGGTGACTTTCAACAAGTGTGATTTTTGAAACCTTTCTGGAAAATTTTAAACGACAGTGAAAGAACCATAACTCTTCTTAATATCTAATGTCTCAAGGTATTTGTTGAAACTGATGGTACTCCGAGTCCAATAAATGGGAAGAAAAGTCTCCAAAGTTATTATACTATACATTAGTTTTAAATGGAGGATGCACAATAAAGCATAACATATTTTGAATTTAGTACACGTGAATGTAGATATGTTTCATGTCTACCTGCGGCAAAGTTTACCTCAGATGAATTTTGCTATTCTGTTTAGGTCCTTTGTGGTCATGAACTCATTGTCGGTACTTCGCTACTGTCATGATTTATAACATTTACTTATTCATAAAATTCCCATAAAATTTAGAAATGATTAAGAAACCAAGGCTCCTAATTCCTTTGGTAAAGCTAACTTTAGATGAATTTGGTTGTTCTGTTAATGTTCCTTTTGTTATAGACTCATAATAGATATAAGACCCCAGAATGCCAGACGCGCGTTTTGTCTACAAAAGATTCATCATTTATGCTCGAATCAAAAGAGTTTAAAGGCAAGATAAAGTACTAAATTGAAAAGCATTGATACCCCAAAATTTCGAAAGGTTTTGCCTAAAACATCAAATTTAATCTATTCCTAGGGTAGAAATCCTTAGTATAGGATAAATAAAGGCAACAGTAGTATACCGCTGTTCGAAAATCATAAATCGATAGAGATAAAAACAAATCCGGGTTACAAACTAAAACTGAGGGAAACGCATCAAATATAAGAGGAGAACAACGACACAACAAAAACACAACATTAAAATGTAACACACAGAAACAGTTAATTTACAGCCCGTAAAGTTGCGCCGGTTTTAGTGTTCCTGTTGAATGTTATCCAGAAAAACGCTTCGAACTCACGGAATAACTAAATAGTGTATTTCATTTACTAACACTGGGTCGACACTGCAGCTGTTGGACTGTTAGTCCCATGAGAATCATGAGCTCAGTTATTAGTACTTAGTGTCTTTTTTGTTGTGGGAATGTATACGTACCCTGCCACGTCCACTCTGTGTTTTTGTTAGATATATTTCTATTTGTTGTATCCATCTGATGAGTTAAGCCTTTTTCAACTGATTTTTATAATTTGTTCTTATGTTGTACTGTTACACCACTGCCCCAAGTTAGGGGAGGGTTGGCACCTTCAAACTAGTCCAACCCCGCCACATTCTATATGTGCATGTCCCAAGTCAGGAGCCTGTAATTGAGTGGTTGTCGTTTATTGCTGTTTCTCATACAAGTATTTGTTTTTCGTTTATTGTTTTGTATAGTTTGTTCTTATATTGTGCTCTTGCACCACTGTCCCAGGTTAGGAGGAGGGCTGGCGCCTTCAAACTAGTTTAACCCCGCCACATTCTGTATGTGCCTGTCCCAAGTCAGGAGCCTGTAATTCAGTGGTTGTCGTTTATTGCTGTGTATCATATTTGTTTTTTCGTTCATTATTTTGTACTTAAATTCGGCCGTTAGTTTTCTCGTTTGAATTGTTTAACATTGTCACTTCGGGGCCTTTAATAGCTGACTATACGGTATGAGTTTTGCTCATTGTTAAAGGCCGTACGGTGACCTATAGTTGTTAATTTCTGTGTCATTTAGTCTCTTTTGGAGATTTGTCTCATTGGCAACCATACCACAGCTTCTTATTTTTATATTAAGTACTGACATTATTACAACATATTAAGGTCCTTTTTGTTTATATAGCTCCTAACGTTGCCACGTTTGTGTATGTTTATAATGTTTACGTTTGAGAGTTCCTGATGAAGGTTAATCTAGAGAAATAATTTAAATACTAAACAGTATATGCTCACCGTATAAACAACAAAACCACGTGCTTCTGATAGTTCATAAATGCATTTTAACTTTATTGCACTAAGATCGTAACTCCGAGAGACACAGTTTACTTATAACTGTATTTGGTGTTCCTCTTGTTCTGTCAAACGTTATATGATTTAATAATAAGGCCATGATCGTACCCACTATAGATTATTTAATTCAAAAGGCTGTGTAGTCTGGACGGAATCTTCAAGACATTACTTCCTAACAAAACATTAAGGTTTCTTACTTCGAACCAAGCTATAAAAAATACAGTTGTCAATATTATACTATAATGTCAAAATCGGGAATATGAAACAATCGGTTAAATTACAGATCAGAATACAATGCCGGTATCTAAAGACCTGAGACCTCGAAAACATGTCGCTCGTGAGTTAAAACACCGACACATCGTATCGGTCAACAAATACGTGATGGTGACCGTAAAACTTATGCAGTGTCAATTTCAGTTGATCTTCCTCGTAATTCTGTTGGAGTAGTTTTTGTGTAAGGAGCACACCGGAAGTGTGATACACCAAACCAGGTACCTCATATCTGAGAAACAGGCAATATGCCCTCAATTTTTACATTTTTGTATTATTCAAAATTATCAGTCAAAAGGTGTTCTACAAGGATCACCAGTCCTTCAACTTTCATTTGATTCCTAAATAACCAAAATATATTCTACATAGTTTGATATTTACACCTATGCGTAGGAACTATTTTGTTTTAAATATGTAGTACGTTCCAGTATGTTCTTTTGGCCGGGCCAAAGTGGGTGGTGTTACATCTTACATACTCTACCCGAATTATTTGCCCTATACGTCCGTTATTTCCTGCAAAAAGTAAAGTAACAAAAATACTGAACTCCCAGGGAAAATTCAAAACGAAAATTCCTTAATCAAATGGCGAAATCAGAAGCTCAAACACATCAAACGAATGAAAACAACTGTCACAATCCTGACTTGATACAGGCATTTCCTTATGTAAAAAATGGTGGATTAAATCTGGTTTTATAGCCAGCTAAACCTCTCACCTGTATGACAGTCGCATAGAATTCCATTATATTCACAACAATATGTGAATAAAAAACAAACAGATATAATGAGTAAATATGTCAAAAATTGGGGTATAGCACAGTCAACATTGTGTTATAATCTTAATCACTATAAAATCAAATAAAATGGCGTATAGACATTCTATAGACAAAGTACATAAGCAAAAATGAAAGACAAGAATATAAAAATGAACAAAGCACAATAACACAATGGTGGGCCACGCCAGAAGTATTTTATCAAAAATGGACCTGACAGTCGAGTTAAAAATATACAAAGACAAATAGAAAGAACATTACAATTAAGTGCGATCAAGCTTAGCGAAAGGCCGTGCGACATAAGTCAAACAAACTTTATTAAATCAACTCGTAAAGGAACGATCGTTGTCATTGGTCAATTCAAACCTTCGACCTCAAATAAACTATCAAGCACCGCCCAAGCACACCTGCGAAAATAGAACACACGTACACACAAACGATCGAAAGTTGAATGGATTGATCACATACATGATTGTGTACTTGATTATCTCATGGCAATTCTAGCTTATATACATGTGCATGTAAAATTTATTTATATTATAATTTTGGGCAATAGTTCTAATAAGGTCCTTTGTTTAAAATTTTTTGAAATTGATAACAGAGACGCTTTAATAACAGGTTTCCAGGCGAAAAATTGAATCCAAGGCCACTGTGTCCTCTCAACCTCTGGACTAACCTCTTGCAACTTTTCTATCTGTTAAGTTACATCATTATGTGTTTGGATTGATACCGAATAAGGAAATATGAATAAAGTTGCTCGGATTATGTTGGATAAACGTAAATGAGACCGTAACTTCAAAAATAGCCAAATTACATAATAAAGATATCGACACGATTTTACATTAAATAGGGTTGTGAAATAAACTGTTCATTACTCATATTCTATCGTCAGTGTATCATAGCCTCTTCCTCGACCCTTAAACTAGGCTCACGTATACAAAACTTTTTTTTATAAA